AATAATGCTTGGTTAAAGTGAAACAAAAATAACCTAATCTAACCTTATTTAAAGTAACATTGTTAAGGGACATCAACATATAACAATGATTCCATGGCGACAATACTTATGTCAAGTAATTAAAATAATCGATCAACAGTTCCCAAAGTTAAGTTTGTCTTTGGTATTCCTTCGACTTGCAAAATTATTCTTGAGACCTGTTGGGCTCTGACCTGTACAAGCGCATTGAATTATCTTAACATAATAGTGAATAGAAAAAAAAACTAACACCCCGTATAATATGTTCCACTGCTGGGCAAAGGTCCTTTGTACAGAGGGTATAAAACACGCGGCCCCACTATATATTAAAACGAAATATTTCATCATGATGTTTTCCTTCATCGCTGAGCAAGTGATAAGTCAGCACTTAATGGTGCACCGCGGAATTAAAAATAAGCGCTCAGATAATGAGCTATCACGGCTTAACATAAAAGCGACACCTTATTTCATAAAAAATGCTACTCGAATGTGTATTTAATCTGAAGCCAGTGTCACTCTTTAGGTCTGATTTTTGAAGTTTTTAAGTAATTTCTTACGCAACTATTATTTGTCGATTTGTATTTGCTACAATTTCAAGATGTTTGTCATTTGCTTTTAAAGGATCTACATTCGGTATAGCTACAGCTTCGGACTCTTCTCTACTGGCTTCTGTTGTAATTAGTGACTATCCACTTGTACTAGATGAACTTTCTGCGTTGTGCCTGGCTGCGGCTATAATTTGGTTACTGCAACTAGCCACAGTCTAAGTTTGCTTTCGCTCTTTTTCCGCATTATCTGTGGTAATTTTTAAAGCTTTAACTGCGGTAGGGCCATGCAACAGTCTTCTCTGTTGCAAGAATGAGCAGTTTCGTCCGGGTACGTACCACGACCTCACAGAACACAGGCGTGAAGTGGTCCTGCGTATCGTCTAGTGAGTTAGTAGGTGAGGGTAACCGGGGCCCACTTCATTACTAAGTGGCACGTATCTGCAACCCTACGGGTGTGGCAAATGTCAATGGGTGGCTATCATTTATCGTCAGGTTAACCGTTGCCACCTTCTCACATTAAAATTGTTTAATACCAAAATGAAGTGCCTGATTTTTCATAAATTTAACAAAGTAAAGTCATTTAACCAAATTGTAGTATCGTTGTCTTGCATAAAGCCAACATTTTTTTATGTCTCGATTAGCCCTTTCAACAACCTTTTCACTTTCGCTGTGCCTTGGCTTTCCTAGAGAACGAGTTTCGTCTCGGAAAAAATGAATCAACCTTATATTTAACAGAATTAACAATTTCTCTGGCGTTGTTATTGAAAAATGTAACTGACCTTGGTAGAAAATTTTGAACTGAAAAATTTCGAAACGTGTTTTATCTAGTTAGAACTAGTTTTTACTGATATTTACTTTTAAACAACAAGAGATTCCAACTGTAAGAAAGGCATTTACTGAAAACTAGTTTAAACTAGATAAAACGCGTTGAAACTAAGACCGGTTTTAAAAATAACATATACATAACCTTCTAATATCATTTCTTATTTTCTGTAATTTTATCCAATTTAAAAGATATACTTGACCTAAGCATTGTATATTTTTTTTATTTCTAAAATCTTAAAAAAATTTCCCTATAAATTCATTCTTGTAAAAAATGTTTACCGGCCTATTTTTAGGATTATTTTTAGAAGTAACTTTTTTCATTAAAAACTTTTGTCAATTCGAAGAAGTATAATTTGCTTTTGAATTTTCTCACTTGATTATCCGTAAAGCATGATGCCGAAGCAGTTATCGGCTTTACGATCAAGTGACTTCGAGCTGAGGTGAGTGAAATAGTTCGATGAAACGTGATTTTGTTTAGTAGTAGCTAGTGTCAGAGCTTATAAACAGCAATACACTTTATACACAACGGCTATTGTTCCCATAAAGAATAGTGCGATAATTCGAATCGTAGTATTGAATAACATAAATAATGAAATAACCTAATCCCAAACACGGGACGTAGAAGTTTAATCCCATTCAGAAATATAAATAGGCATTATTTGTCCAGCGCGACTTTCTCTCTGGTCTCCAATAAGAGGATTACAAGGGTACGTGAGAAAGCTTTTGTAACATTCAACCTTTTAAAACTAACAAATAACATAAACACTTTCCAATCTCATTTTGAGAAATGGTTCATCAAATTGAACATCAAAGGCGAACCTTTCATGTTGTGTACCAGATGTAACTTTGCGTAAATTATTAATTCGTTAAAAATGCACCCATTTTAATAGAACGACTTGTAGATAACAAATTGTTTAAACTTTCTGTTTGTTTTTCATTTCGTAAATTCAGGAAATATAGCCTCGTTTTAATAATTAAAACAGAAACCGCTGGGGAAAATTACTATGTTTACATAAGCACTATACATAGTAGGATGTATCCCGAGATGGGAATTATTGTATTTATATTTAACTTGATATTATGATAGGTCTACTGGCACAATAACTAAGCGATAGCTATATAAATATTTGTTTTTGCACGGTCAGATAGTTTTCAAATTTCCTTACAAATAACCTGACGGGACAGTCATAATGTTCGTATGAATCCGATCCAACGCTTCTCACATTTCTCCTGTCGGCTACCTGATCGATATCCATTATGTTTCTAAAACTCCTCCTCCTCATTAAAATTATATGTAATGTGAGTTTAATAAAGAGTATTTTTCGTTCCTTATGTATATACACATATAGGTTTCAACTAATTTACCTAACATGACAAATAGAAACAATTTAAATCTCGACAGAAACCTAATCATAAAGAATTCAAACTTTCTGAAATGATTTGTGGTACTAATTAATTATCCGCAAGTTTCCCTTTCATTTTCAACCTTTGCGTGCAAATGATGCCAAGACACGATCGATGTAATATTTTTATGCTCTGAATTTTTTAGATAACTAATCCTTAATATTGGTATTTTGGGAAGAAGAAAGTCGTACAATATGACTGTGAAATGTAGAACCGAGTAAACAAACTGGCGTTAGAGAGAAATGAGTATTTCCAAAGAACCAGCAGAACCTGCCAATCCGCAATCGGATCGTATTCCACTTTGGAGCGCGGCGTTAAGATGCGTGTGAAAAAAATTGGGATATACTCATTGTGTTTCGAAAACAGAAACGTAGGTACATATTAGCAAGAATTAGTTTGCCATTCTTGAAGGATTTATATCAGCGTATATTGAAACTTGCATCGTCCCATTGCCTCTTAAAAAATTGTTTTATCCAAATACAAGAGTTGCTCACATGCAGAATGTATATGTTGATATTAAAGCTAGGAATTGATGGACTATCCATAATTTCCTTAACTCCAATATGTTTAAGTTGCTTAAACATTCTATTATAAGTTCTGCCAGCATATTATGCCCTAGATAAAAAATTATCCAATGATTTATTTATAAGCAGTTATCCATGAACCCTGTGATTCCGGCCCAATATTGTTAATTATAAATTGTAAAAGACGGAATTGATACTTTCCGTATTTTTTGTATTTAAACTAGAAAAAAAATTATTTTTGGAGGGTATACTGCTAACGGATTACAGAAGTTCAGAAAGGACTTTCATAGTTATATTGAATATGGAAAAACCATAAATTAAATATTTAATGTTCTAGAACATTAAATATACAATTGTGTACAGTGTAATTAAGTTAAAAATACTAATTTAAATCAATGACTTGAATCGATTGAGTGACAATAGCGAAAATACTACATTTTGGCTTTTGTTACCAACGTAAAAGATGAATCCGGTTAAGTGTTTTTTCGTTTAGTATTTAACGAGCGTTCTTAGCGGAGCAGCCGCTTATCGTTTCTTTGTTACGAGTACGAGTACGAGGAGCTCTATTTGTTTTACCACAGACATAGGCCGAACTGAGAGCTTCTTCCAATAAAACAAACTGAATACCTCGATGAAAAACTTGGTAAACAGCTTACAATAACGTTTACGAGAGTAAAACGTGTCTTAGACCCATAGCAATGAGTGTGAAGAAACGTAACGCACTCGTATAAACGAATCAAAAATAGAGTAAAGTCACTAAAGAAAAGTCTTAACACTACTATTTTTCCGCCAAAATAGAATATCCCATTTCGTACAGAATAGGGTAAGGTAGCAGAATGGCTTAAGCAATGGATGATCTTGTTATAAACCTGCGGATGGGGGACGTGAACAGAAAATACAAATTTGTGTTTGGTAAAATTTTCAAGTTATCGGTCATTTTTATAGAAAATTAAAATAATATACATAAGACCATCTGTCCGTCTGTCACCAGGCTGTATCTCATGAACCGTGATTGTATTTTGCGGTAGACAGTTGAAATTTCAGCTGATGTATTTCTGTTGCCGCCATATCAACAAATACTAAAAAAACAATAAAAAAATGTTTAAATGGGGCTCCCATACAAAGGACACGATTTTTGCTGTTCTTAAAGACAATGGTACGGAACCCTTTGTGCGCGAGTCCGACTCGCACTTGTTCCGTTTTTTTTTTTTTTACTTGAGTTGGAGTCTTTGTGCCAATAAACATTTTTTATGGTGACCTGGCTGCTCATTTTAGTAAGTCAACTAGTAAAATCTTTTTTTTTATGTTAGAAGGCGGCAAATGAGCTGGAGATTCCGCATGGACCAGCCCATTCGTGCAGCAGAGAATAAGAAGGAGAAACGTATACGAAGACTATTGCGTGTTGTTTTTACAATACACATCGCAATACACATGTAAACTTAAAACCTCCAACTCCGGTGAAAATCAATGTTAGATTCCGTCTTCTACCCAGAAACGTTATTTATAATATATTTTGGCGATACCTCCTATTTATTTCTGGTTAAATTTTTTTCACTAACATGGTATTATTTTTATGCTCAACTGAGTTAACAAAATTGCGGAATACACTCTGTTTTAAAAGAGTACGTTCTAATTTTAGCATAAAAGGACTTTGTCGAATAGGTGGCGCATTCGCCGATAGATGGGCATGAGAGGCGCGCGGGCCGCGGCCCTGCTGGGCGCGCTCGCCGCCTTGGCCTCGGCCGGCGCCCCGCCCACCGGCCACGCGGGCCACGTGGGTGACGTGGGCTACGTGGGCGACGTGGGCCACGTGGGCGACGTGGGCCACGTGGACGACGTGGGCCTCGTGGGCGAGGTGCGCCTCGACGCCACGGAGCTGAGCCCGGTGGAGCTGGACGCGGCGGAACTTGACGCGGCGGGAGTGCCTGCGTGGCGGGAGCTGTGGCAGTCCTCGCTGGAGGCGCTGCGCCGCGAGCCCAGCATCAACAACACGCAAGAGGATGTTCTGGTGCAACTCGGCGGCGTCGCCTTCTTGCACTGCCCAGTGCGCAACCTCGGCGAGAGAGGCGTTCGTTGTCACTCACTATATACGAATAATACCACTTATATAAATCTATTAAACAAAATATTGAAATAATTGTTTCTCCATAACAGGTGTCGTGGGTCAGGCGACGTGACTGGCATATTATTAGTTCCGGTGTTTTCATGTACACTAACGATGAGCGCTTTCAGGTAAACAGATTCACAACTGCTTAGAATTTTATAAACATTACCCCGCTTTGTAAATAATAAAAGATCGATAACCGGTTTGCAGGTACTACACAGCGAAGGATCCGATGATTGGATATTGCAAATTAAATATGTGCAAAAACGTGACAACGGGACTTATGAGTGTCAGGTATTGAAAATATTGCAAGTATAATAATATATACTTGTTTTATTTATATACTAGCTATTGCCCGTGACTACGTCCGCGTGGAATAGGACGTAAGCGAAAAATTCAGACAGATACAGACAGATATCTATACATATAATAAAAATTTAACTTGTCTTTGTTCGTACATGGAATATATTTGAGAAAAACTATTATTAAAGATATCCCTTTATCAACACAATAGAACCCAAAACAATGGTTGTTAAAATTTTTGTCCGTGTGTATGTGCGTTTGTGCGCGTAATCTCGGAAACGGCTTAACCGATTTGGATGCAACTTTCACTTATGCATTGTAGTACTTCACTTAACATTTAGTGTTAGTTTTATTCAAATCGCTTAATAAATAAAATATTTATATCAACTTAAAAAAAGTAATCGCTACAGCTGAATTGGATGAAACTATAGTTAACTACAATTATATTATGGTCTGTAAAATGATGTTGTTAGATTATATAAATTTAAAAACCAGCCAAATGCGAGTCGCAATCGTGAACGAAGAGTTCCATACCATAATTTATAAAAAAAGGCAATAAAATTATGTCCGTTGTATGAGAGCCCCACTTAAAAAATAATATTCTGATTCTTTTATTTGTTGTTATAGCGTCAACAGAAATACATCATCTGTGAAAATTTCAACTGCCTAAATATCACAGTTTATGAGATACATGTATCAAACAGATGCTAGCAGTCTAGCTAGCATCTGTCTTTTTGTTTGAACTCGCTAATCTCAAGACATTTGATTTTGATTTCTCAGCTACTACTGGTCCAATTAGAAAAATTCTTGCACTGTTACATAACCAATTTATTGAGGAAGGCTACTTTTTAAGCACGATAAAATGTGGTACATATGGGGCGAACCGCGGGCGAAAAGCTAGTGCACAACAAAATATCACTTTAAATACCACATTCATAGTTTTGCCTTCCGGGAAACAATTACTATGGGTCACACAAATAACGGTCCAGTGTGAGAATCGAACCCACGCCGAAGGCAATGCCTTGACAACTGCGCAATGGTCAAAGATGTAGCGAGTGATATTCGCGAATTAACCTATAACTGACTCCAGTGTACGAGATAATGAATGTTGTCTATGGCGAAATGGGTAGTAAATGGACACTAAGTCGTGTTTGGTTTTCATTAAATTGTTGAGATAAAATAGTTCTCATTCTTTTAAATTATATCGAGGCATTTTTGTAATAAATACTAAAAGGTAAATTCAATGATTTAGAACATACTACAAAATAAGTACCTTAATTACAAAAAAAATATCAGATAGAATTTGTGCGTCCGTGATAAAAAACAAACATAATTTCCAAACGACAAAGCAAAATAATATCCGAATATCCTAGCCTAACCAAATCTATATTCCTAAACAGTGACAGATTTTTCCGTTGGTCGCCCTAGGCTCATTAAAGATTAAGAGAAAAGACTCGCTGGAAGGCACAAAAAATTAAACAAAGAAAGTTTGTACATATGGAGCCGACGAATGGTACCTACTTATTAGGCCCGCTTGATTTGTTATAGTTTTCATGGAATATCACCTACGCAAAGAAACGAAAGGCGAATGGCAAGCAACGCTACTAAAAGGCCCCACTAATTTGCAGCAATGTAGGGGACATTTGGCCCGCCGAGTACGCGGCCTATAGAGAAATCCACTACTGTTCCTAACAACTAACCAAATCGCAAACCTAACCAAATCGCAAAAATCAAGAATATCCCTATACCGAGCAAAACTAAAATCGTACCTGTCGTATAAATCTCAATTGAAGAAATTCGCATTATTATTATTAAAATTCAAATGGTCGGCACCTTAACTAACTTGTGAAATATGTATACAGCGCATTTTATGAAGAACAACGCCATCTAGTTTTTACATGGGAACTAATTCCTTATCTTATCGTAACTTACCTATGCTGGACTGTAATTCTATTAATTGAAGAATTTGTTAATAAATAATAAAAAAAAGTTTGATTTTCTTATTATGAAACTGAAAATTCGCGTTATCGTGGTTAAAATTTTATCACTGATAGTACATCTTTTGGAAGCTAATTTTTTGTATTTGGAGCTACTATGACATTTGAAAAAAATTAAAAACTGTTCCAATTGATCCAGTAGCTAATAACGTATATATTCTATTTAAGTAAACTGATTACGATCAAACGATACTTAAATATTGCGAGGAAGTTGGACTAACACGCTGTCAAAAACCCCGTAAGAGCGATCCTAATTATGTTTTAATGTTGCAAAACAAACCTTTAATATTGCACAGAATTAATCTTGAATACTTAGAAAAACACCATACAAATTAGTCCAGTAGTAGGATAACTGTGATAACTGTTTGCGACTGCACTGCTTTAATCTTAAAACTCCCATATCTCCCGTTTGAGTGAGAGTTAGGTACTGCCCCAAGCTTTGCTTAAGTAACGAGTGAAATGCACTGCATCAAAATCCGATAAGTAGTTTTCAAGTTTATCGCTAACAGACAGACAGACAGACAGACAGACAGACAGACAAAAATTCCAAAAATGGTTTTTATGTTTCCTATAACACTTTTTATAATACACTTTTTCATTTTTTCATAAATCAATGTACAGACACGCCGATTCTACTCTTTTATTATAGTATAGATTATTTCTGGAATTATACATATTAAAAATTTGGTAATCAAATCAAAATTAATGATTTGTCTCTGGCTCGGTTCCAAGTAAGACACTACGGCATCTTTTTAAGCAAAAAACGTTTCAACGAGAACATAGTGTATATACGTAATTGTTTGCGCCAATAATGGTAGGTTTCTTCGATGAAA